CCTCAATAAAGTTATATCTCCAAAACATTGCCCCTTGGTCCTCAAACTCCCATTTGCATATTTAACTCAGACTGTGCAGGTGTCTAGCTTTGAGTGAAATTAGGTGACCAAGCTTCCCCTAAATTTGAGATAGAATCAGTTGCCCAGAGGCAGGATGCCGCCAATGTTGAGCCTTCAGGCCTTCCCAGGCCTTTCCCCTCACAGCTCCCAGCCCTGATTCTCAGACAGCACTGATTACTCTTTCCAGGCAGCCCAGAGCAGCACCCCAGGAGCCAGGAGAGATGTGTGCAGCTCAGAGCTACATATATATAAAGCTTTATATATATGTGCACATATATAGAAACAAAAACAAAACACTTTCTTAGTTTCATTTCATTGGTACCTGGCCTTCCTGGGTAAGGAAATATTTCAGATAATCCCTACCCTAACCCCCCCTCGCTTCAGGGACAACACAAATCAGGCATGAGCCACAAGCATAGTGATCAGAAAAGCACTCATTGGGCTCAGCCGGGTAGCCTAGTAGCTAAAGGATCACAGTTACCCAGCGGCAATACTGCCGTGCACGCACCAGGATCCCATATGGGCACCGGTTCTAATTCCAACAGCCCTGCTTCCCATCCAGCTTGTGCTTGTGGCCTGGGAAAGGAGTGGAGGACGGCCCAAAATCTTGGGGCCCTGCACCCACATGGGAGACCTAGAAGAGGCTCCTGGCTCCTGGCTTTGGATCGGTTCAGCTCCAGCCCTTGTGGCAACATGGAGATCAACGGACAGATCTTCCTCTCTGTCTCTCCTTTCTGTATACCTGACTTTCCAATAAAAATAAATAAATCTCTAAAACACACACACACGCACAGTGTCAGAACCAAGGGCTGCCAGGGGAAACAGTGCAACTCCGGGCAAGTGTTCCATTTCTGGGCCTTTCACTGACCCTCCCTGCGGACTTGGGGTGAACCTCCAGATCAGCACAAATAAAGTTTTGGAAAACCAGAGAGAAGACTGGATCTGGTGGGCCAAGGGGAGTAAGTGAGAAAAGGAGAAGTCCTGGAGAATAAATTCATTTTTAGGGGTGGAAGAAACCAGTTCTCCACCCTACTGAGAAAGGAGAGAAAGCCCAGAGCCCTGTCCATTGCTTTGTGTGAAAATCAATCCTTGACATTCCAGAATGCTAAGGGAGGAGAACCCATCAACGCTGCTCCCTCCAAGGTCTCTGCAGGGCTGTGTTGTCCCCAGCAGGTGCTTGGGGAGCCAACCGCAGTGCCACACACTGGTGTGCACCCAGGGCCTTCGCCGGAGGAGATCCTTACTTCAAATGTCTTGATATGAAACGAAGGAGTGATAACAACTGCTGAATGAGCACTGACAATAGAGAGTAATTCTTTGACTCCTGATTCAAGAAGGTCAACTGTGAGGAGAAATCTGAACTTGAACTGTGCAGTAGAGCAGAGCAAGGGCTTTTTTGTTCATTGCCACAGCAGTGTGGAGCTATAGAAAAGAACAATAAATCCTTATCAGTGAGGAATGCTAGCTTTCATGTTTACAATGCAATGTCACATAAGGATTGAGAGAGGGTGTGGCCACTTACAGTACTATAAAAAAAAATGAGCAACTTAAAAATTAGGTGAACAAGTTTACTTACAAGCAGTATCCAAATGAACAAAATACTTTCTTAGAAATAAAATTATGAAATGTAGAGTTTATAGTCTGAACACTAAAAGAATTGTTGAAACGAAAAATCTAAATAATTGGAACAATGTTCTGAATGCAAGTCTTAATATTGTTAGGATAGGAAGTACTATAATCAAGAGTAGGGAAAAAAATTTTTTTAAATAATAAAAAATAAGAGTAGGGAAGAGGGTCCAGCGCAATAGCATAATGGTTAAGGTCCTCACCTTGAACACGCCCAGGATCCCATATGGGCACCGGTTCTAATCCCAGCAGCTCCACCTCCCATCCAGCTCCCTGCTTGTGGCCTGGGAAAGCAGTCGAGGATGGCCCAAAGCTTTGGGACCCTGCGCCCGTGTGGGAGACCCGGAAGAAGTTCCTGGGTCCTGGCTTCAGATCGGCACAGCACTAGCTGTTGCGCTCACTTGGGGAGTGAATCATTAGATGGAAGATCTTCCTCTCTGTCTCTCCTCCTCTCTGTATATCTGACTTTCCAAAAAAAAAATAAATATTAAAGAAGACAGACTAGGGAAGAAAATACTTGCAAATTACATATCTGAGAAGGAAACTGTATCCAATATATGCAAATAACTTTTTCAAGTGACTAATAAAGACAGCTGACGGGGGGGGGGGGGGGGGGGGTGAAGGATCTTATTACTACAGACATTTCTCCAAAGAAGACATATAAACAAGCAAAACGTACAGAAAAAGATGTTTATCATCATCAGCCATTAAGGAAATACAAATCAAAATAATCAAAAAGACAAAGAACAGCAAGCTGTGAGATGGATGCAGAGTAACTGGGATCCTCCAACATTACTAGTGGGCATATAATATGGGGTAGTCACTTTTAAAACATTCTGGAGCCCGGCAGCGTGGTCTAGTGGCTAAAGTCCTCACCTTGAATGCCACAGGATCCCATGTGGGCACCGGTTCTAATCCTGGCCACTCCACTTCCCATCCAGCTCCCTGCTTGTGGCCTGGGAAAGCAGGGCGGCCCAAAGCTTTGGGACCCTGCACCCGTGTGGGAGACCCAGAAGAGGTTCCTGGCTCCTGGCTTCAGATAGGCTCAGCTCTGGCTGTTGCAGTCATTTGGGGAGTGAGTCAGCAGATGGAAGATTTTTCTGTCTCTCCTCTCTGTAAATCTGTCTTTCAAATAAAAAAAATGAATAAATCTTTTTGAAAGAAGTATTGATATGCTACAACATGAAGGAAACTTAAAAACAAGACCTGTAAAAGAAGTCTCACAAAGATCATTTATTTATATGGAATTTCCAAAACAGGTAAATCAATAATAACATTAAAAGTAGGGGTTGTTTAGGGGCACGATGGGGGAAGGAATGCTAGCTTTAATGTTATATATACGGTTTCTAACAGATATATGTGGTTTCTTTGTGGGGTAAGGAAACATTCTGAGGTTGACTGTATGATGGTTGTACAACTGAAGTATATGTCATCTTTCAGGGAAAGAACTGGCAATATAATAGAGGAAACACAAATATAAAAATGTTTGCATGCTTCTTTGTTTTTGCAAGGTTAAAAAGTGCTAAGTAACAATAGCCTAATATCAAATTTTGGTTTTTTTTAAATTTATTTTTCAAGGTATATTTATCTCATTTGAATGGTAGAGTTACAGGTGAGAAAGAGTGAGATCTTCCATCCACTGGTTTACTCTCCAAATGGTCCCAATAGCTGGAGTAGGCCAAAGCCAGGAGTCTGAAACTCCATCCTCAACTCCCACAGAGGCGCAGAGGCCCAAGTACTTGGGCCAGCTTCTGCTACTTTCCCAGACACATTAGCTGGAAGCTGGATGCAATGTGGAACAACCAGGACTTGAACTGGCACTTGTGGGATGCTGGCATTTAAGACAGTAGCTTGGGCCCAGTGCGGTGGCCTAGCAGCTGAAGTCCTTGTCTTGAAAACGCCGGGATCGCATATGGGTGCTGGATCTAATCCCAGCTGCACTGCTCCACCTTTTTCATTAGGTAGGGCATGTTCTTACATGCCCAGTCCAAGAACCTGGACCAGGTATCCCAAGCATTGATGGATTCCCCACTCCTGGGGTTCACAAGCCCGACACATCCACCTAATTTGTGGGCCCTAGAACCCAGACCAGGAGACCCAAGTCCCACCAGATTCACCCCGGGCTTCATGGAAACAACACCCACCTAGAAGGCAGACCCCAGGATCTGGGCCAAGTGACCCATACCCCACCAGTTAGTTCCCCTGTCCCTGGGGCTCAGCAGCCCATCCTCCATCAACATGTGGGCCCCATGGCCTGAACCAATCTATCCAAGCCCTGTCAGATCCCCTGTCACTGGGATTCACGTACCTTGGTTCAGGCTGGCATGCCTTGCCACACCTGAGCTTCTACAGTCTTACTGCACTGCCTGGCCTAGTCTAGTCTGTTCCCTGTTCCAGCTTCTGTTGGTGGGTGCTATAGCCCAGCCTGATTGCTGTCCCAGGCCTAGTGTAAAACTGGCTGGTGATGCGGCCAGATCTAGCTCCTCCTGCCCCCTGCCCTGATTCTCAGATCTGCCAGTGTGTGTTATGTGCTGGCCCAGACTGGTCTGTCCTCAGATCTGACTCACATGTCTGCCAACAAGAACTGTAACCTGGCATCTTCTGGGTAGCTCCTTGCCTTGCTGCTTGCTCTCTCCTGCAGGGTCTGCATCTCAATGAAGGAGTTTCCCAAGTTCCTCCATCGAGTCTTCTCCAATGCCAGTTCTCACGCAAACAAGTGGGTCGTTGGTCCAGGTTGACATTGTCCATCTCCTGTCCTAACAAGAACAGTGGCCTTGCTCAGGCTGCCACACCAATTCTGGTTTTTGTTGGTTTTTGTAGCCCAGCACTACCTGGTCCACACCCAGACACAGCTTTCACTATTTCTGCAGGAGTTAAGACCTAGTCTGGCTGGTTGTATACCAAAACTGGCTCTCACAAGTACCAGTGGGGGTTGCAGTTAAGCCCAATCTGTCGCTCCACCGTCCCAGTACACACCCATGTCAGTGCAGTCTGTAGCCATGTACAGCCATGCCTGCTGCATTCAATCCTACTCTTGTTTGTTTTCATCTTTTGACCCAGGCAAAGATGAAAGATACGGGCATCTTAACTGCTAGACCAAATGCCCATTCCAAAGGCTAACTTTTCAAATAAAACCCAGAATACATTCCCAGTGGTATCTAAAATATGGCCTATCGTTTTAACACATGCAGAACACAACTGGAAAGGACTTGACAAGATGTTCTAAGGCAGGGAACCAGTCCCAAGGGTGGAAGTCGAATCCAGGCTCAGCCTTTTGTTGTATGGACTAGGAAGTAACAAAGTCACAGACTTACCAAATAGTCATCTTAGGCAGATCCTGCACAGAATTGAGGGAAGCCAGCAAGACTGAAGGACCAGCCCTAGCTTCCTGCCTTTTAGAAAGTTTTTGTAACAATCAAATGAGACAATGGGCAGCACACAGCTGTATAAGTCCTTTGGATTGTGGTTTTGGAATCCAAAATACATGGCCTTGAAACTCTCCTGCCACTTTCAAGCTGTAGCTGAGTGACTGGTTTTCTCAGAGCTTCCCTAAAACAGGAAGAATCTGTTAGAGAAATACATTGAGTTTAATTCAGCACACACAAAACTTCATTAGCACATAGTCATAAAAAACATTTAAGACAAATTTACATGTGTCTTTCACACTCAGTCAGTAGAGCTCATAAATATTGTATACTTCCAGTCTGTCTCTGCTGGGAGATCAATGGCCACATGTGGGTATTGGCTCCCAAACTGGACACTGCATATGTAAACAACCAGCTGCAAACCATGCCCCAGGAGAGCCCAAAGGCCAATGAGTTTACTATAACAAACTCAACATGAGAAATTTCAGTGGCCTTGCGGTCATGGTGGTGACTACGGGTGAGATGAGACTTGAGACACAGTGTACCTTGCATCACACCAGTTCAGCAGAAAGGGGAAATAGATGCTACCCAGAGTTTTCTGCTTGTATTCTCTATCCTCTTTGCTACCCAATCTGTACTTGGGGTTGGGACAGGGCAGGGTTACAGACAAAAGGAACAAAGAGTCGAGTGAAGTTGAGAGATGATGCTGTTCCTCACACATCTCTTGCTTTGGGCCCTGGCCTCAACCCCAATGGCCTTAAGGCTCCCTGGGGCCTGAAGTCCGACATGTCCAGTGGGGACCTTTCCTCTGCCTCCTGCCTTCCCTCCTCACTGCAGAGGCAACATGCTCGAAAGAACAGGCCTCTCATCTCCACTATTCAGGAAATGTTTTGTTCTCCCAACTGTGATATTTTGAGCCTCTCTGGCAGATGGTGGGCATGAGCAAGAGTGGAAAGCACTTGCGCGTGTTCTCCCAATGAGGAAAAGACAAGGGACAGGCCCCAGGATCCGGCTGACTCCAGGGACGTCATCATAAACCCACTAATGCTAATTGCTTTCCCGTCTGTTTTCCCTTGCTTGTGGATACTAAATGCCTCTCTGGCTAATGGAAAATGAAATGCCTGCTTGCTGTTTGTTCACTGCATTAGGTAAGATCTCTTTGAGCTGCCTCTCCTAGCCCAGTCCCCAGATCAGGGTACTCCTCCATCCTAAACAGATGGGAGGGAAAGGCAGAAAGAACAGGAGGAGGAAGGGTAGGAGAGGAGGAAAAACAGGAAGGAGAGAAGGAATATTAATCATTTGAAGGTCATGCTTGCAGGGATATTCTACTTTTCCTTTTTTTGATATGAACACAATGGCCCAGAGTAGCTAACTGAACTTCAACTTCAAAATTCAGTTCCCCCAGCGAAAAAGGAGAGATCCAATTCCAACAAGCATCTAAAACAATAGACTCCCAACCAATTGAATCTAACACAGACGTCTTTAGGGGACACTGCTGGCCCAGCTGGCTGTCTGCTTCCCTCCATATAAGTGTTCATGACACAGAAAGTAATGAGAGCAGCAGCCCCAGCCTGTCCCTCCCTACCCAACATACTCCCCACCTCTCTCTAGAAGTAAAACTACTAATTTTAGCTGGTTGCATGAGTGCCAAGAGTAGAAATTCACCTCCTAGATCAGATTCCCTCCCCATACACTAGGTATGGCATGTTGCTAAGCTCTGACCAATACAGTGTGAGTAAAAGGGGCATGTAAACATCCCACAGGGCAGCTCACCATTCCTCCCCATCCTGTGTTAACACTGACAGGGGGAGGCCATGCAGGCAAGGACAACAAGACAGGGTTCTGGATCCTAGACACTGTGGAGCTACCAGACTACCAAGGGAGGGACAGGCATGTGATAGAAAAATGTGGTTTGGGATCCATGTAACAGTAGCAGAAATTGTAAGCTTGGGGTGTATTTGTGGGGGAAAAAAAGAAAGGAGGCAACCTCTGGCATTCCTCCTTCTTTTCCTGATGAAGAATGCTGCTTGCCTTCTTTTTATCTCCATCTGCCTCTATCTGTTACGTACTCCACAGCTGGACACAGACAATCATCCCTGGCCAGCCCAACCCCAACACCTGATGCAAAGGCCCATGTTCAAATCAAAGCCTTGGGGCCAGCATCGGTAGCACAGCCTGTTGAAGGCTTTGATGCTGCCAGCTGTGGTGCCAGCATCCAACATCAGATGGACAGTACATCCCACATCAGAGGTTCAGCTGCTCTTTTTCTAATCCAGTTCCTGCGAATGCACCTGGGAAGGCAGCATTGGTTGGCCCATGTTTACAGATCCTGGCTTCATTCTGGCCCCGTCCCAACCACTGCAGCCATTTGAGGAGTGAACCAGCAGATGGAAGACATCTCTCTCCCCCTCTTCCCTACCCTCATCACTCTGCCTTTCAAACAAAATAAGTATGTCTTTTTTAGAGGCCTTTTCCTTGGAATGCCTTTGAGAAATGTGGTTACAATAGCCAAGAAAACTGTTCAAAAAGGCCAAGTTCCAAGGGTTTCCCCAGACTCCAAACCTTCTTCAAATCAGAGATTGACTTTTTGTGTAAACACCGCCTTGTGCCTTAGGCAGGAAATTCTATGGAACAAACTTTGGGGAATATCTGAGAGCAAATAGGGCTCAAAGGATCAGCTGTTACAACATAACCATGTCCAATGTCTTTTCCTGCGTCACTGGGTTTCATCAGCAAAGAATCACAAACACAAACCCTTTGGTCAACATAGATGGTGATGAAATACATAGGGTGACTTTGACGCAACCGCTCCCCACACCACATCCACTCAACCCACTCCATAGACATTGCCCAAGAAGAGAGCAGAAACCTACACACTACTTCTCCTTAGGTCCACTTCCTAAGTATTGGAACGCTTGGCCTGGCTCCCAGATCTGGCCTGGGATCTGGCCAAGGTATGTAAGAAAACACACCCTTTCCTGGTGAACACTGCAGAGGCTGGCCCAGAGCCCAGTGAGAGTAGCATGTACCCTCCACATGGAAAGCACTTGGGAGCTGACAGGTTCCACTTCAGCTCCAGAAACAGCCACCTTCTCAGAACATAATTGAACATGACCTTGAGCCTGGCTATGGCAGGCTGAGGTTAATTTCCTTTCTTTCCTTGGCCAGGACCCTGTTTGGATTGTTCTGCTCTGCCTAATTAAATTTTCTGCACAATAGAGCGAAGTGCCTTATCTTGAGCAACCTTCCCCTAGTTCCTCCTGGGGGGATTCAAGTGAAAGTTCAAAGAGGGGCACCCGTGGCTTTAAAAACCAGCACTAGCAGGCAAGTACTTTCTCTACTGGTGGCTGCTACTCTTACTCAAGTAACACCTGTAATGGCTGGGAGGACCTCCCCTGTGACCTCGCAGAGAGAAAAAAAAAACAGAGCTGGAAATGAACTCAGATGAACAACTCAGGACCTGCCAGAAAGTAGGCCAGTAGGTCAAGATAAAGTGCAACCACGAGCAAACAAAAGATTTAGTTCACAGGAGATAATCTGCTGTCTGCTCAGGCCTCATGGGGATCTCAGGGCCGATGGTACAGCGCCCACCTGGTTAGCACAGCAGAGTGCAGCACAGCGGTATTCACTTCTCTCTTCCTTTTCCTCAGCAAAACTTACTGCCTTTAGAGACTTTTTTTTTTAAACTTAGGCAACACAGAAAATTTTGAAGAAAGTGAAACTAGCTTCCAGACTCACCACCATCAAATATCTGCCGTAAGATAATGCTGTGATTTCAGCTACCTCTTTATACACAGACTGGTGTAGAGATATGTATAAGTAGAAATAACTTTAAATGGATGGGAACACACACTTTTTATAAAGATCCGGTGTTTAGGAATCCAAAGAGCCACCACTGCTGCCTTCTGGACATTAGCAGCAAGCAGGAATCAGGGCCAGGACTGCAACCCAGGCACTCCAACATGGGATGTGGGCATCTTAACCAGCTTCTTAACTTCTGGGCCTAATTTCTATCAATTTACACCCTCCACACACACCCATTTTCAAAACTACCAGCTATATAGTGTGGTAAAACATCTGCACACAGAGCCATTCATGTTCATGTCCTATGGGGCAACAGGAGGAAAGAATGCAATGGGCTTAAACACCTGCTCAGGGACAAGCACTGTGAGTGCTGGCCACCTATTAGCTAGAAGTCACCCTGTTGCTGACCTCCACTTCTCTGTCCTGCCACCATAGGCTGTGAGCACAGCCAGAGCTAGCATGCACGATGACAAGTGATGATAAATATGAATTCCTTGTCCAAAAGGTAATCAAAAGATCAGCCTGATCCAAGAAAAACCAATACAATCCTTTGTAATGATTTTTGCTTCCAGCAGGGATGGGAGCTCCCAAATTGCTTAGAATTTAGCTCATTACTGTCCTCACCCAAGGTAGCCATGGGTGAAGGAGTCTGAAAAAAATGTCACAGAATGCCTTGGCCAAAAAGCAGGTAGAGCACCACTCTGAAGCCAGCACTGATCCGCTCCTCTCTGTGGCTGCATCAGCTCCCAAAGCCTGTACCACAGGGGACAGCCTGTGTTGACTTCCAAGACCAGCCCTTGTACATACAAAACCCCTGGCAGATACAACTGAGCTACCCCAGACTGATCTAGCTCTATTGAGTCCCATGCTTTGCACAGGTCTGTGTGAACAGCAGTCACCCCAGAAGTCACCCTAGTATCAACAGGCCAGTATGAAATACACAAGCCAGCCAAGGGCCTGCAAACACTCAGAGTCAGGTTCTGGATTGTATGGACAATGCCTCCCTTGGCTCCATGGCTACCAAAGCAAACCACTCCTGAAGGAAGATAAGGGATTGTTCCCGCCAGTCTAATGTGGTTCTGTACGTGCACACGCGCGCACGTGCGCACACACACACACACACACACACACACGCCAGGCTGAGTGCCAAGTGCCCTGGGGAAAATGGAGAAAAGGCCCCCAATCCTGTGACTTGCAAATTGGATGAGGAGAAAAGACATGCATATTTGGAAATGAATTGTGATGGCAGTGCAGTCACACTGGATGCCAGGTCTGTGATGACTCAAGAATTGGCAGCATCAGCCAACCCCACTGAATTCCAGCCAGCTGAACACAGCTCACCAGCAAAGGCCCCAGGGGCTTGGAAGCTGAGCTGCTTGGACTAGGTGGGGGTGTGACCCCTTTGGAGTCCAAGGTCATCACAAGCAGGAGCACAAAGCTGATGAGCATGAGCCCTGGAGCCACACCGCCCAGGTTCACTTCCTGCCATGGCCTCTGGGGCCTCTCACCAGATCTCGCTCTACTTCCAGAACCCCACCTGTAAAATAGAGCCCAGTCACCAGGAATTACAGCATAGTGCTTGGCAATAGCTGGCTGGGATCAACCTGGATATGGACTCCTGAAAGGTTTCCCATTGGTTTAAAGCAGGAACCAGAACACTCAGTTTATGTAGAAGAGACAGCTTATTCAGTACAAAATGATTCTGGGGGCTGACCTTGTAGTGCAGTGGGTAAAGTCACTACTGGTATCACTGGCATTCCTCATCACAGCACCGATTCAAATCTCAGATGCTCCTTTCTAACCCAGCATCTTGCTAATGCTCCTGAAAAGGGAGCAGAAGATGGTCTAAGTGCTTGCTACACCCATATGTGGGAGACTTAGAGAATTCTGGGCTCCATGCATTAGCATTGGCCTAGTCCCAGCCATTGCAGTCATTTGGGGAGTAAACCACAAATGGAAACTTATTCTCTCCTCTCCTCCGCTTCTCTTCTCTTCTTTGTCTTTCTCTCTCCCTTCCTTTTCATATCACTCCCTATCAAATAAGCAAAGAAATCTTTAAAAATGATCATAGACCAGGACACTGGCTGAACCCAAACACCTACTTTCCCAATACCTTCTTAGAGCCAATCAAAACTTGCTGCTTCTACACTTTCAGCACTCCAGCACACAGGTCTCCCCCGGAGAGCAGCTGGCCTGGCCTGGGGACATGGTTCAAGGAGATCCACAGAGCTCATCATAGTTGAGGTTTTAGCATGTGACGGCCATTAACCTAACCACCCATTAGCCTTGTGATCTATGTGGGCGTCATGATCAGCATTTGGTTTCCTGTTCATTCTTTCAGCATACAGTGACTGTGCCTTTCCAGTGCTGACCTTGTGACCCTGCACACAGCAAAGACAGACAGGGTTCCATCCCTCAGAGAAGGAAGAGAGCGCCAATAAATAAGTAAACTAAGAGCGGAGCCTCATTTGGGATCAGAGTGGTGCTACGACACAAGCAAGCAGAGTCCATGATAGAAAATAACAAGTGGGAACTCAGAGGAAAGGCCTCTGGGGTTGGGGGGAGACATGCCAGAATGGGAAGGACAGGATTTGAAGAACCAACTGAGGGGAGGGACTTGAAAAGTCTGAATACTCGAAGACAGCCATATGGCTGATACCTTCACCAAGGGGAGATGTAAACCTGGTGGGATGTTTTCATTCTATCCTCCAGGTAATGAGGCTGTGTAAACATTTCATCCGAGGTTGGTAGCTCATCCTGATGCACCACCCTGTCATCAATGTGTCGCAAAGAGCCTTTTGTAAACATGTCTGAGTGAGCATACCCTGAGAGCTTGCCTCTGAGCTATCAAGTTTACACTTGGTAACCAGGCATGGCCTGCCAGAGCTGGGCAGTGAAACGACAAAGAGTGGGGACAGGTCCTCAGAAGCACAGAAAGGACCAGAGTGTATCCAAGCTTTGCTGAGGGCATGTAGCGGACCCAGGGAAAAATCCAGTTCAGACATTGCCAAACGTGCCTCAAACAGTTACCATCACCACCACCATTATCATCTCAGACTAACCCACCAACACCACCTGCATCCTCATCAACAGCTCCCAGAAATATTATTGCACTGAGTAACACCTTTAAATCAGTTCCTGTGACCCACTGGGACCAGTGCCATGGTGTAGGAAGCTAAACAAGCACCTGTAGCTCTGGCATCTCCTATGGGTGCTGGCTCTGGTCCTGGCTGCTGCAATTCTGGTCCAGCTCTCCACTTATGGCCTGGAAAAGTAGCAGAGGATGCCCGAGTCCTTGACCCCAGCACTCACATGGGAGACATGGAAGAGGCTCCTGGCTTCAGCTGGTCCCAGAGCTAGCCATTGTAGCTATATGGGAAATACAGTAGCTGACGGAATATCTGTGTATATCTCCTTATCTCTGTAAATCTGCCCTTCATAAGCATTTCTAAAACATCAGTCTCTCTCTTTCTCTCCACACACACACATACACACACTCACTCTCTCGCTCTGTTTTTATCTATACATACATAACTGTAGCATAATTTGATTTATAGTGTGTGGATCCATTGGCTCCACTGGATAAAGGGATCATTCATATCCTGTGAAGTCCCAGGGAAGAGTGAGACAGCTGGTCTGAAATGTCATCACACTACCCCATGAAGACATGCAATTTCCAGCTGATGAGTTGTTTATTTCTGGAATTTTAAATAACTTCAGGCCACAGTTGATCATGGTAATTGAGATTGCAGTAAGTGAGGCTCAGGCTAAGAATATATTGCTGTACTCCACAGAGAGTAACTAAGGTGCTTCTTCATGACCCACCTCCAAAGGACTCAGTCTGGAAAACTTCCCCAAGGAATCTGATTTGTTGCTAAACAGTCCAACGGATGGATGGAAGGTAGCCCAGGGGAAAACATGAAAACAGAGAACTGACTTCAAGGCAGAGTGCTATTGCTGTTCACCAGCTACAGAGGTGCTGTTAACAGATGGTCACGAGGCACAGCAGGGCATCTCTGGAAGCAGGCAAAGACCCAGACAATGGCAGGTTCAAAGCAGCAGAGCCCAGAGCCCAGCCTCATAAACACAGCAGGAAAAGAATAGTCGGAACCCGGATTCTTTCAACTACAGCACGAACAGCAATATCATTTCCCAGAGGCATCAGGCAAACAATAATGTGTGACCGGACTCAAAACCTGCCAGGAAAAGATTAGGCTGAGAAACTGTGGTCAAGCCCTCTCGTTTTAATAAGAATGTATTCTGGAAAATACAGGCCACTGTCATTAGTGCACATATTTCCCAGCCACACACAGTGCTCAGAGAGAACATGATAACAATGGGGACTTTCTAAGGGCACAAGCCTTGGGTCTGCCCTCCCCCTCCAATACCCAGAAAGAACTATTAATGAAAAGGAAGAGGGAGAAAGGTAGCAGACTGTCCTGACCTGCCTTCAGCTTCAGCCCTAGACTAGGGATGCCACTTTTAAACCTTGTTCCCAAGTCACTACTTGAGGACAGGCTGGACTAAAAGTCAGTGGAAGAGGAGAAAAGGACGTTCCTCCACCCCACCTGCAAAGGGAGAAAAAACAAGGAAGGCTGGAAGTGGGGGAAACTGAGCTATCTCTGGGTGTCTCTTGAGATGCAAAATTCCAAGCCCAGAAACCTAATCGGATTGGCACATGAGGGCTCAGCAAAGTCTTCCTGCAGCATGGACAGCCCTTGGGGAAGGTTCACCTTGCACAGGTGGTTTTATTTTCTCATCTCAGCCTCCTGTGTGTTCCTCTTTCCCTTATCTGAGTGCATCAGGTCACACAGCCTGGACAGCATGACAGTAATGAATATGTACCCACTGGGAGGCATCCAGGAGCCTGCCATGACCCAGGACACCCTGGACAGGGGATCTCCGAAAGCCCAGATCATTGGTTTCATCTTTGCCTCTGCTCCTTACATCTTATTTGTACTCTTAGCTTCCATCATGAGATGTTCCCCTGTCAGGTGTTCTTAGAAATCAAGTTGCTAGGCTCAGTGCGATAGCATAATGGTTAAGGTTCTCATCTCGAACGCATTGGGATCCCATATGAGCGCTGGTTCTAATTCCGGCAGCCCCACTTCCCATCCAGCTCCCTGCTTGTGGCCTGGGAAAGCAGTCGAGGACAACCCAAAGCCTTGGGACCCTGCATCCACATGGGAGACCTGGAGGAAGCTCCTGGCTTCAGATTGGCTCATACCCAGCCATTGCGGCCTCTTGGGGATTGACCCATCAGATGGAAAGTCTCCTTTCTGTATATCTGCCTTTCCAATAGAAATAAATACCCTTGTTTAAAAAGTATAGAAATCAATTTGCTTAGGGCTCATATGGAACATGAAAGCACAGGGTAGGTGTTTTGTAAAAAGGGCCAAGACACCACTGAGGGGCCAGTACAATACCTCAATTGCCAAATTCTTCACCTAAAAGTGAAAGTATCTGACACTCATGCTGAATCTAGCCCAAGCTGCTCCACTTCTGATTATCTCCCTGTTTATGGCCTGGGAAGGCAACCAAGGATGGCCAAATCCTTGGGACCTTGCACCCAGATGGAAGACTGGAAGAGGCTCCTGGCTTCAAATTGACTCAGCTCTTTCCATCGCAGTCATTTGGGGTGTGAACCAGAGGATGGAAGATCTTTCTCTCTCCCTCTCCTTTTCTCTGTAAAGCTGTCTCTCCAATAAAAATCTGTAAATCTGAAAGAGGAAAAAAGATACCACTGGAACACCTGTGTCCCGAGTGCTCAATTCAAGTCCTGGCTACTCCACTTTTGATCTAGCTTCCTGCTAAATGTCCCTGGGAGGCAACACTAATGGCTCATGCTCCAGGGTACTGTGGAACCCTCATTGAGCTCTGGGCTCTTGTCTTCAATCTGGCTCTGCAGAGGGCATCTGGGGAATAAATAAGAGGATGGGAGATCTCTCTCCATCTTCCTGCCTCTGTTTTTCTCTCTGGTTTTCAAATACCTACATATATATATATGTATATAAATATGAAGATGAAGTTTCATTAAGGCCATGTGGTTGAACACAGCAGCAAAGCTGGGATGAAAATCAAGGTCTCCCAAGCACAAGTCTGGAGAGAGCCTTCCCATCAACCTGAGACACATTTCCTGGCCTTGTCCACAAATACTATGAAAAGCGTGCTTCCCGGCCAGGCTGCAGAGCTTGGGAGCACCAGCACATGGTTCCCGGTTTTGCATTTCTGGTGAGGTTCCCACCTTGTAGAAGACTCAGTGCAAGGAGAAGCAGATAACTTTTGCAAAAGCACGTGTGGCCCTAACACATTTCTACAAGAAAACAACAGGAAAAAGGAAGATGTGCGCCCATCAGAGAAGCGAGC